TACTCGTGTTTAACATCGAGACACAATAAGACATAAGGTTTGAAAAAAGGCCCAAAAAACCAAATCGGCTGATATGTATAATTTTGTCATTATATTTTAACATTCTTTATCATGTGACGAAGCTCATGTAATTGTAATCGTTGAATTACCTTCTTTGGATCATGTTTTCTATCATTAGATAATAATAAGGTAATTGAAGCATAAGACTATTGAAACATGCAGCAATTAATTGATGTACTCAAAAGAAATCTCTGCTGCCATATTTAGCAACACACGACATAATTATAATTATTAGTTTTTGATTCTTTCTTTAATTCCATTGACAGCAATAATAAATAAATAAAATAATAGACCATTTATTAATAATATTATTAATAAGTAATGCACATTTTGAAATTCCTTTTAACCGTTCCGAAATTCATTGAAATGTTATGAATATATAATTTATGGGCATCGAAACAAATTTTAGATACGCATCATTTATGATCGATCATATTATATTGATATTATCTGTTTAATGAATTACAGGAAAAAATAAAGTCCATTACAATAAAATATATCTAATTAATATTAAATAAATCAATAAGATGTCAATTTTACCAATCGGCAAAAATGCTATATTTACATCTCAACTACAATTAAAATTAAAGAAAATTGTGACAACTATGAAGATTCTTCAAAAAAGAATGATTTCAAAAAAGCCTTATAATTTCCATGAATTTCCGTTAAATTTTGCGCAAGCTTTCAAATAAACCAGCTGCGATTTTTTACTTCATAAGCTTCAGGTCTAGCATATTCAAATGTAGCTTTACAAGCTTTTCCTGATTTTTTGCACCATGCAGTTGCAGTAATAAGCAGTTCACCAAACATCAAAGAAAATTCCACAGGTCTATCGAGCTGATATTTAACATCAGGTAATTCAATAAACAATTCTCCAATCAATCCCATACCAGGTTCATCACAAAATTTTTGATTATTTCTTGGTGTAGCATATATCTGGAAATTCATGCCTTTTTGGTCAGGGTAAACAGGGGAATAAGTGCTAGAAAAATCTTGAGTTGGTGAATATTCCACTCCACGTTTTGCTAAACAATCAAATTTGAATATATGATCATCTTCTGTTTTTTTTTCTAGTGGATCTCCTGTTACCCACTCTGAATATACACGCACACCTATATGATATATGTATATTAACATATATAAATATTATATAAATCAATGAATTTTAAAAAATAAACAAGCATACCATAATTCAATGTCAATTGACGTGTTGCAATAGCCTTTGTGTTTAAACCATAGATAACCCCTGTTTAAATTGTGTGTTAGTTAGTTCATTATAGAACCTAAATCCAGAATATTTTAAAAATAAATAAATTATATTCACCTCCACGTACAACAGCAGATATTGGATTTTGAGGCACGGAAATAATTGATACTTAAAAAAAATTACATATAATAAATTATTAATAACCAAATACAAACAAATGTAGTCTCGATTATTTCTGCAAAATACCTGTAGAACCAAATGCATTCTTTATTTTTGAGATAAGATATGGAGATTCTGAAAAACCTCCAGCCAAAAATAAAGCAGAACATTTTTCTTTTGAAGCTGTTAATTGATTACGGATTAAACGAATAATTCGGTTTATTACTGGATCAAACATTGCAAGAACATCTTCATAAGTAATCTCTAGTAACCAGTCCTCTGTTATAAAAAGTATAATTATTTGTTAACTTATTAATGAAACTCATAATAGTTTACATGTTCTTATTAATTAACATTTCACCTTTTCTCAATTTATCACTAATATCTTTGGTTATATAATCCTTAAGCGCTGGACAGAATCTTCCAATGTCCAAGTCTGTTGCATCAAAACTATCACCATCAAACCCAAACTTTATTTCTGGACAAAAGAAATGATGAATTAAATATTGATACTCATCATAATGATTTTCTTTAAAATCACTCATTGCTTTAGATCCTAGTTCATTTTTTAAGAAAGTAATAAATTCATCATCAACATAAGTTGATCCGCAGAAATCTCCTGTTCGTTCACTAACTTCTGATAAAGTATCACTGGTTGCTAATTTTCGAGTTGTTAAATCCACTGTGCCACCTCCACAATCCACTACCATAAATGTAGCTGATTATTATAATAAAAGCAAAATTATCATTAAAGCTGTTGAAAACACCTGGTATCAAATTTTCTTTAAATATATTTACATCCTTCTTTCAACAAATGTTCATTCAATTTATCCATACAATACAGTGCGACTGCTTCAGCTGGTAAATATATATATAAAAATATGTAAGTCAATTAGTGTTAACTTCTAAAACTATGGAGTTTTGCAACTGTTGAAAGTCAAAACTAGTTTTGGCTTTAGGCATATAACATATAATTTTAGTTTTGATTTTCGCCTCTTCGAAATAGTTTAGGTGACCAACACTAAAGTCAATTAATTTTGAATATAAGATTAAGATGCAACGATTCCTTACGTTCTGTAATAAATTCTAAATTATTATTTGAATTTTCATTTTCTAAATAACCAGCGGCATATATACACTCTTGTAATACTCCGATAGTCCCTGGACCCCTAAAGATTTAGTAATTTCATACAAGATCAATATCATTATTATGACTATCATGACTCTGTTTAAATCCTTACCACTCGGCTGGAACTGTAAAGACTAATCTAACTTGATTAGGAAAGCTTACAGTAGGCCAACGTTTTGTAATAGTTTCTGAAATTAACTGAAGTTCAAAAAAATTAATGAGATGAAATGATATAATTATGTTTTATGGAGAATAGAATTATTTCAAAACTATTAACTGGTTTCATGGCTTTTAGATAATCAGCAATTGCTTTACGATAATCTAGTCCTGCAGGCATGCGTATTTTATCTGATCTTTTTGAGTCATATTTAAGAAGTAATTTAAAATATTCTACAGGTTTTGATACGGGTTCTACTGCATTATTTCTTCTTCTCCTAGGTTCTCGGGCCAACGCTTGATAACCCCATGCTATGACTTTATCGTATGAATTATCGTATTGTAAAACTGTATTATTTTTTGGAGCTTTGAATCGTGTCTTATTTTGACCTGGCCTGTCAAAAAGTACAAAAATAATATATATTTATGTATATTTAAATACTGCTTTGTTAGATATTAGTAATTTTTGTTATTATATGTTTACCATGAATCATGACTAGTAATATCTGCTGGTCTGGCAATGTGAGCATAAGCGAAACCTGAAAATTAAGAATTAAATTATAGTCCACGATTTTATTTTATTGTTACTAAACCTAAATTCATGTTTGCTAATTTACTAACCGGAATAAGTCGTTCCAAAATCTAAAATTTACAAAAGAATAAGTTTTTTAAATAAAGCAAAATTAATTTCATTTATTCATCTTTTGATTAAATACCAATAGCAACTACTACAGGATAGCTCATCTTTGTATAAATTTTCTTTTTTTTTCTTTGATCTAAAAAAAAAATAAAAAATACAATAATAATTTATAAAGCCTAATAAACCACTTTTATTAATCAATTAATTCGAAAACGGAAATGGTTGTGCAAGGCTATTCAATTTTAAATGTAAATGGTCAATTCGTTTAAGTAGTTACCATTCAATCATTTAAAAAAATCTGTGATAATAATAAATGGTCAATTCGTTTAAGTATCTACCATTCAATCCTATTTTGGCTTATCCATTTAAAAACAACAATAATAATAATAAATGGTCAATTCTTTAGGCGTTAAGCAAATCTATTTTTAGTTTTATTGTTAAAAAATAAATAATATATTCGTTTAGCATTGTATTGAGATGGAATATTTTCTTGATTTAGTCAAACCATTTAAACAATGGAAATACAAACTATACTAACTAAAAGGAGATTTGTACTCGATGTATTTACGCAAAAAAAATTTAAAAATGAAAGATATCCTTATTAATAACTAGGGAATGTTAACAAACGCTATTTGCCCGAGTATGCAAAGGTTAGGGCAACTAATGAATGTTAACAATAATTAGTAAATGCTATTTACTTTAGTGAAGCATTGTCTAAAGGTTAATTGGAAGTACTGTTAGCGTTATTCTAATAAATTGTTATAGCAAATATAAGGATGTTAAACGAGCTGTTTGTAAATAAATAAAGCAAGCTTGCAATCAGCCAATAAATAAAAACAAGTATAAACGACTGAAATAAGCCAGTCACTAGTGAATAAAAGGAACTTTTGGGTTTAACAAATGGTCCATATTCGTTTGTTTACAGTTATCATATATTGTTCAGGGTGTTTACAGATTCTCCAAAGCTTTCTAGGTACAAGAAAAAGGCAGAAAGCGGGAATCAAAGTAAAGTTCGTAAACTAATTGGTTGATAAGCGTCAAATTATTGTGTATTAACTGACAAAAGTAATCCAAAAGTTAAACCATCGTCAGCCATATGCATCAAATAATCAGCGCTAACAGAAAGGTTACCTTGCAATATAAATTTCTAAATATATCCCTATCATTTGATTCATCTTCAGCTAGTCCAAATTCAAGCTTCAGAAAAAAATTTATTTTAAAGATTGATCAAGACTTAACTCAAGTATTGATTCCTGATGAGATGTACCAGTATTTGACATAGAGTTATTTGATCGTTACTTTTCCTTGTAGACTTATTTCTGCATAGTAATTTTTTGAAGGAGGCAGATATAGCATATCAAACAGGCCTTTCAATGAAGGATCTCTTTCTTCGATCATTTTTACAAATTCATCAAGATCATTAACAATTAATTTTTTTACGATGTTGATACTGTATAAAACAGAAGTGTCTTTTTAAAATAAGAAAACTGTATACTATTAGTGTTGGTTACCAAAACTGTGTTGAAGAGGCGAAAGTCAAAATTAAAATTAAAAGTTAAATGTCAAAACTAGTTTCGACTTATATGGCGAAACCTTTTGAATTTCGCACAGTTGCGAAACTCCACAGTTTTGAAAACCAACACTATATACCATCTAAAGCTCCGAACAGTTCGATTCAGTTTTTCGGCTTACATTTAACACAAAAATTTCAGGCATTCTAAATTCGTAACTATACACAATAACTTCACGAATAACTTGTAGCTTGGTTTTGGCGAATGTATTGAAAAGTAGAGATACTGAAAGGATCCTGTTTCTAAATACATGGTAGCGAAGGTCTAAAATTAGAAATGAAAGACTATGATTTAATTTTACTCATTTCATACATAATGCCATGTATAAATACATTCATAGATGTACTACAAAAATTTGTGCCTATTACTATTCGTAATGCAATTTCTTATTCGAATTATTCGTTTTATTCATTCGTTATGAAATTGAGCATTCGAATTACATTGAAATTTTAGTCGAATAATTCGAATTAAACAAATAATTCGAACAAAACGAACAAAACGAACAAAACGAACAAAACAAACAAAACGTACAAAACGTACAAAACGAACAAAACGAACAAAACGAACAAAACGAACAAAACGAACAAAACGAGCAACTCGAACAAAAAGAAAAAACAAATAATTCGAACAAACCTTATTCGAATAGAAACCCTAAGGAAGTTCTATTTTTTTTCAATTCATGTATAAAATTAATCGTCTCCGCAAACTTTTTAAACTCTTGTTGCTTCAGGTTCCAAACTACAACACCTTTAATTAATTAAGTTTGTGTCCCCAGAAAAAAATCGTTCAATTGGAATATTGATTGTTATAATAGGTTTATAAATTTAATTATAAATAAGCAAAGTGCAAAAATTAGAATATCAGGGACTTCTAAGTAGTTAGCAGCAGACATATGGTTCTTGAATAATATGATGGTTTATCATTCATTATTTTTAAAAGAAACTTTATATATTATTATAATAATGGAATTTTAATTTATTATTATGCTATTAATTATACTAATCATTTTCTTCAAAAATAATTGCTATTAATTTTTATTTCAAAAAAAGTAATTAACAAAAACGGATATCTAGTTTACTACTATTATTAAAGTATGTACAGTATGATTTTATTAAAAATTTTTTTCTAAAGAACGGAATTGACAGTGTACAATCAGAAAAAATGGCTTCAACGCGACTATCAATTTATACTGGTATAAATTTATTATCAGTTATGTACATTTTGTTCAATTGTTTTTTGCACGTAAATAAATAAATAAAAAAAGAATGGGTAATAATATATTTATTTTATTTATAAATAATAATTTTTATTCCAAACAAACATGGCCTGACCTAGTATTGTTATTTCCACTAACAACACGAATAATATGCATGTTTTGTTTTTCTCCTTCAGGCATTTTTCGATTATCAAAAATCCAGTTTTACAGTGAATGGACCATAATGAATGTTGGAACGAGTTTACCAATAGCAATAAGTTGAAGTTTATGTTTTTATGAAGACATTATTAATTAGTAAGAAAAATTGAGATTTAACCCACAATTAACCTTTTTATTTTTATTGATAATATGAAAAATATTTAAAATGAATAAAATATCAATTTTACCAAGTGATAAAAATGATATATTTACACCTCAATTACAATTAAGGTTAAAGAAAATTGTAATAACTGTGAAGATTCTTCAAAAAACAATCGTTTCAAAAAAAATTTATAATTTCCGTGAATCTCTGTTAAATTTTACGCAAAATTTCATAACAGCAGCTATTTATTAGAAGATACTCCATAGGCTCCAGGTTTAGTATATTCAAATGTAGCTTTACAAAGTGTTCCGGATTTTTTGCACCGTGCAGTTGCATTGATAAGTAGTTCTCCAAACATCAAAGTAAATTCCACAGGTCTATCGACTGAATACTCATCAGGTAATTTAATATACAATTTTCCAATCAATTCCATACCAGGTTCATCACAAAATTTTTGATTATTTCTTGGTGTAGCATATACCTCGAATTCTATACCTTTTTGATGAGCGTAAACAGGATAATATGTTCCGGGAAAACCTTGAGTAGGTGAATATTCTATTCCACGTTTTGCTAAACAATCAAATTTGTAAATATGGTCATCTTCTGTTTTTCTTTCTATTGGATCTCCAGTTACCCACTCTGAATATACACGCACACCTATATGATATATGTATATTAACATATATATATGTTATATAAATTAATGAATTTTAAAAAATAAACAAGCATACCATAATTCAATGTCAATTGACGTGTTGCAATAGCCTTTGTGTTTAAACCATAGATAACCCCTGTTTAAATTGTGTGTTAGTTAGTTCATTATAGAACCTAAATCCAGAATATTTTAAAAATAAATAAATTATATTCACCTCCACGTACAACAGCAGATATTGGATTTTGAGGCACGGAAATAATTGATACTTAAAAAAAATTACATATAATAAATTATTAATAACCAAATACAAACAAATGTAGTCTCGATTATTTCTGCAAAATACCTGTAGAACCAAATGCATTCTTTATTTTTGAGATAAGATATGGAGATTCTGAAAAACCTCCAGCCAAAAATAAAGCAGAACATTTTTCTTTTGAAGCTGTTAATTGATTACGGATTAAACGAATAATTCGGTTTATTACTGGATCAAACATTGCAAGAACATCTTCATAAGTAATCTCTAGTAACCAGTCCTCTGTTATAAAAAGTATAATTATTTGTTAACTTATTAATGAAACTCATAATAGTTTACATGTTCTTATTAATTAACATTTCACCTTTTCTCAATTTATCACTAATATCTTTGGTTATATAATCCTTAAGCGCTGGACAGAATCTTCCAATGTCCAAGTCTGTTGCATCAAAACTATCACCATCAAACCCAAACTTTATTTCTGGACAAAAGAAATGATGAATTAAATATTGATACTCATCATAATGATTTTCTTTAAAATCACTCATTGCTTTAGATCCTAGTTCATTTTTTAAGAAAGTAATAAATTCATCATCAACATAAGTTGATCCGCAGAAATCTCCTGTTCGTTCACTAACTTCTGATAAAGTATCACTGGTTGCTAATTTTCGAGTTGTTAAATCCACTGTGCCACCTCCACAATCCACTACCATAAATGTAGCTGATTATTATAATAAAAGCAAAATTATCATTAAAGCTGTTGAAAACACCTGGTATCAAATTTTCTTTAAATATATTTACATCCTTCTTTCAACAAATGTTCATTCAATTTATCCATACAATACAGTGCGACTGCTTCAGCTGGTAAATATATATATAAAAATATGTAAGTCAATTAGTGTTAACTTCTAAAACTATGGAGTTTTGCAACTGTTGAAAGTCAAAACTAGTTTTGGCTTTAGGCATATAACATATAATTTTAGTTTTGATTTTCGCCTCTTCGAAATAGTTTAGGTGACCAACACTAAAGTCAATTAATTTTGAATATAAGATTAAGATGCAACGATTCCTTACGTTCTGTAATAAATTCTAAATTATTATTTGAATT